GGCTTGTGGGAAGTATTTTTCCATCACTTCCTCCTTAAAACGTGCCCAAGTAAGGTTGCTTTGTTGTGCCTCAGTCCTAGTGCATTAAGCGGACTCCCACCAGTGGCCTGCCGCATCCACTAGCATAAACTCCGCACATAAAACCTTTTGGGCATCAGTGCAGCTGAGATGCTTGAAGATTCGTTCCAAACCCCTTATCCATTCTTCAGCTGCTAAAGGACCAGTCATCCCATTAAAGGTAGGGGGCTTATAACGATGAAACTGCTCCACAACTGAGCTCGTCGTGTTGGAGTTAGTTTGTACATTCTGAGGGGGCGCTTGTGTTTCCTGCCTACCAAGATCTTGTACAGCTTTCAACAAGTCCTTAAACATAGCGGCTTGTGTTGGTTGACGTGCCATTTCCTTTAAATCAACCGAATAAATTTCGTTTTTGAAATAGTGAATAACAACTTAATATATTCGAATGAAAATCTCAGTTTTAAAATTTTAAATCCTATAATACATGAGGGATGATTAAATCATAGACGATGAAGAAAAAAAACCCATGGATTATTCCAAATACTGATTACATGCCCGAACAAGATCATTTATTTAAACTGAACTATCTCCTATTCATTCGTCTTCATCTTCGCTTATCCAACCATTTTGAATCCTGCGAAGCTTGGCTGAAGGGGGTTCATCATCCGAGGTTATACATGACTCAGGCTCAGATTCCTGGTCAACCTCTAGTTCAGGGCCTAGTTCGAACTCTAGCTCATGCTCTAGTTCTGGCTCCTGTCCTGGTAAGTACTCTGGTTCATCTTCTGGCTCCAACTCAGATTCATAATTCGGCTCCTCTTCTGGGTCTTCCTCGGGTCCTCCTCTGGTTCAAGTTTGGGCTCAAGGGTAGAAATCCACCTATCTAGGAAAGTTTCACAGTACAGCTCAAATTCAATTCTTTCTTGGTGCCCTGGAGGGTTACCCTCTAATATTTCATCCCTAACCACAATGCCCATATCTCCCCATTGAGGTGGCAGCGTATGGATAAGGTTGTTAACAGCTTGGAGGGGTCTAATCTCATGCCCCACACCTCTTGCTGCAGCCCACCTAGCGTAGACTTCTTCCACATGTTCAATAAGTGTGTGAGTCGGGTCTGCTTCATAATTTTCGTAGGCTTGGATGATTGTCGCCCTAGGGTTTAGAATAGCCCTACAAGCCATTGTCTTCCTAGCAGTCTCTATAGTTCTAGCTATGTTTGAGGACTTGTTGAAAGCTGTACAAGATCTTGGTAGGCAGGAAACACAAGCGCCCCCTCAGAATGTACAAACTAACTCCAACACGACGAGCTCAGTTGTGGAGCAGTTTCGTCGTTATAAGCCCCCTAACTTTAACGGGATGACTGGTCCTTTACCAGCCGAAGAATGGATAAGGGGTTTGGAACGAATCTTCAAGCATCTCAGCTGCACTGATGCCCAAAAGGTTTTATGTACGGAGTTCATGCTAGTGGATGCGGCAGGCCACTGGTGGGAGTCCGCTTCACGCACTAGGACTGAGGCACAACAGAGCAACCTTACTTGGGCACGTTTTAAGGAGGAGGTGATGGAAAAATACTTCCCACAAGCCCTAAGAGACCGTAAGGAGACGGAATTCTTGCAACTGAAGCAAGGAAAAATGGCATTAATTGACTATGAGAGGAAGTTTGAACAGCTTTCTAGGTACGCGACACATCTAGTAGATACAGAGCAAAAGAAAGCTAGAAGGTTCAAACTCGGACTTCACCCAAAAATCGCAGGAATCATGGCATCCCATGAATTCACCACTTATAGTCAAGTTCTACAAAGAGCTCATGCGATTTCGAATCGATTAGAAATCGATCAGACAACACGAGAAAATACTGAATTTTCAGGAAAGAGGAAATGGAATGGACCAAACGAGGGTAAAGGAAATGGGCAAAACAAGAGGACTAGCTTTGAAAGGTGGTCAGGGTCGAGCAAGCCGAATAATATTGTTACTCCGTGCCCTAAGTGCAATAAGACACATAGAGGCGAGTGTTGGTATGGAAAGAATGTGTGCTATCGATGTGGAAAGCATGGTCATATTGCTACCAATTTCCATGACCCTCCACCAAAACGGGACAACGAACAAAGCAAAGGGGGAACAGCCAGAGTGTTTGCGTTAACCCGGCAAGAGGAAACTGACAATTAAGACATCATGGTAGGTACCCTATTAGTATTACACTGCCTGCTTATGTTCTTATATACGCTTGGCTACTCATTCCTTATTTACTAGTACTAAGTCCTGTACTTTTATGAAGAAGCTGTTAATGTTCTAGAAGCTACTACCCCATTAGACAATGCACTTGATAATTGATGACTAGAACAGTCAAGACGAATGGACAAGAATTTAATTTCAGAGATGGAGTATTTTTCTTTATGCCATCTTAGGAATATTGGTTGGGAAACATTATGCAACCATGCAATGCTTTAACAAGAAGGAAAATTTTTCTTAGAAGTCTAGAGAAAAGAAGATCATGGGCTATTCACCTGAGTATGAAAATTTCGAGGACGAAATTATTTTAAGGGGGTGAGATTGTAACGCCTCGAAAATTTTGGAATAAAAATATATTTGTCGTATATGTTATAGTTTTAAAATTTGAGGACTAA